ACTAGATTGTGTGTGTGTGTGTGTGTGTGTGTGTGTGTGTGTGTGTGTGTGTGCGCGTTCGTGCAAGTAGAAAAACATGTTGACTCACCCTACTTGTAGAGAAACGCCAATGCCATCCTCTACTCTTTCATGTTGACGAAACGGTCTATCACTCTGTCTGGCATACAGTACACACTTTAATTTTTTGTTGTCCAAGTCTACCTGGCTAAAATGCTTGCTCGCTAGCCTAACTTCCATTCATTTGCAACATTAACTAGTTAACATTAGCCTTCTACAACTAGCTACATATTGAACTTTCATCCTCTAAGGCCTGGGGCACAATAATGTATGAATTAATGGTTGGATCAGAATCGCCGTTATAATCATTGGCCAGTACGGAGAATTAAGTAAAACCACAAGTACAAATCCCTATTTCCATCCATGGCTAATTTAGGAAAGGGACAATTTTAGCTAGCTAGCTAGCTAGCCACCAGAGGACAACAACACAACGAGATGCAACTATTCAAGTTGTTCTGTCAATTATATATGCTCTCAATGGGATTTGATAGGAGTGATGCAAAAATCCAAGCTGGCTTCCCCTGACACTTTCTTTTGGTGCGCCAGGACCATTCACAGTTGAACTCGCTCAGTTTTGATCCGCTGATTGGCAAATGTTTTATACTTTTTTTTTATCAAGGGAGGCCAAATGCTTGCTGTCTTCACTTGCCTTCAATGCTACGGGCGGCAACAATGCCATACTTGTTTTGGACCAGACAGCATCAGATAGATGGCCTACACGTAGAGAGACAGAGGGGCGCTGTTTCACTCGCTCTGATGCTTTCTCCTGTGAGATAGATTCAGCCTCTTGCGAATTGAAGGAAAATTGTGAAACACAGAGAGACGAACGATAAAACATTTTCTTTTTTTTCTTCTTCCCCTTGACATCCACGCCACTGTACATAAGCATGTTAACCTCTCGTTCACTAGCCTAGATGTGTCCTCAGCTCAACTGAGGGTCTGACGAGGACAGGGGGAGGGAGAAGGGGGATCTCTGGGAGCACGCCCACATTCACCCTGCCTGTCAGAAACACACACACACAAATAGAGCTTTCCCCAGGTTTAATAAGAGACTTGCTAAAGACTTTGGCGGGAAGATGTTGGGGATTTGATGGAAAGAGGAGGGGGGAGGATCGAGGGAGTGGGGGAAAGAAGAAAGGCATTAGTGTATTTTAAGTCAGGAGGGAAAGCAAACTGAATGGAGAGACCGTGAGAAAGTGAGACCATCGAACATGAATCTATACATATGAAAACGGATTAATCAAATGAGCAATAAACAATAATACTAGCATTGAGTGACATAGTTAAAAAGAGGATCTATCTATGGAAGGTCATTAGGAATTTCAGTTTTCAGCAATGGTCTGATGCTAGTTGGGGAATGAAACTTTGTGGTGTAGGGAGCAGTAGAGAATGTAGGGAATTTTACGGGTGAGAACAACATTGTGGTTTCAGTTGGTCTTGTATGTGATAGGGATAAGGGGTTGTAAAGTCAACCCCAGACAGTCATTGGCTAATTTCTCTGTTTCTCGTCTCTTCCCCATCTAGTAAGCTGTGAGAAAAACTTATATAACAGCTCTGCTGATCTAGGATCGGTTTTGCCTTTTAAATCATAATGAATAAGAATACCAGGCCTGTATTCAGTGTCTCAGAATAAGAGAGATGATCTAGGATCAGTTCCCACTTTCAAGTAATCATTTTTATTATTATTATTATCTAAAAGGCTAAACTGATCCTAGATCAGCACTCCTCCTCTGAGACGCTTTGTGAATAAAGGTCCAGTTTTACCCTATTCCTAACAGTATGCAGGCATTACAGGATTATCAGCAGAGCCAGCCCCAGACCAGTTGATAGACAGAGAACACCAAATGTTGTCCGGCCTGATATACTGCTGCTCACATAAAGGTTATAGTGAACTCAATCCCCCTGCTGGTCAATAGCAGAACCTCTACACAACGGTTTCAGTATTGTCAGTATACCTGGTATTTACTGAAAAAATACAATTTGAAAAAATAACGACAAAACTAAATAAGAAATTGGTCACAAATAAGAAATACTATTTGTACTTTCTGGTTACTTCTAACAAACAATTCTATCAAAACTGTTTATTACTTTTAAAAAAACATCTAAATAACAGTTTGACTATGTTCAGTTCGCGCAAACTATTCAATCTGAGATACAGTTGAAGTCGGAAGTTTACATACACCTTAGCCAAATACATTTAAACTCGGTTTTTCACAATTCCTGACATTTAATCCTAGTAAAAATTCCCTGTTTTAGGTCAGTTAGGATTACCACTTTATTTTAAGAATGTGAAATGTCAGAATAATAGTAGAGAGAATGATTGATTTATTTCAGCTTTTATTTCTTTCATCACATTCCCAGTGGGTCAGAAGTTTACATACACTCAATTAGTGTTTGGTAGCATTGCCTTTAAATTGTTTAACTTGGGTCAAACGTTTCGGGTAGCCTTCCACAAACTTCCCACAATAAGTTGGGTGAATTTTGGCCCATTCCTCCTGACAGAGCTGGTGTAACTGAGTCAGGTTTGTAGGCCTCCTTGCTCTGCCCACAAATTTTCTATAGGATTGAGGTCAGGGCTTTGTGATGGCCACTTCAATACCTTGACTTTGTTGTCCTTAAGCCATTTTGCCACAACTTTGGAAGTATGCTTGGGGTCATTGTCCATTTGGAAGACCCATTTGCGACCAAGCTTTAACTTCCTGACTGATGTCTTGAGATGTTGCTTCAATATATCCACATAATTTTCCTTCCTCATGATGCCATCTATTTTGTGAAGTGCACCAGTCCCTCCTGCAGCAAGCACCCCCACAGCATGATGCTGCCACCCCCGTGCTTCACGGTTGGGATGGTGTTCTTCGGCTTGCAAGCACCCCCTTTTTTCCCTTCGGCTTGCAAGCTACCCCCTTTTTCCTCCAAACATAACGATGGTCATTATGGCCAAACAGTTCTATTTTTGTTTCATCAGACCAGAGGACATTTCTCCAAAAAGTAAGATCTTTGTCCCCATGTGCAGTTGCAAACCGTAGTCTGGCTTTTCTATGGCGGTTTTGGAGCAGTGGCTTCTTCCTTGCTGAGCGGCCTTTCAGGTTATGTCGATATAGGACTCATTTTACTGTGGATATAGACACTTTTGTACCTGTTTCCCCCAGCATCTTCACAAGGTCCTTTGCTGTTGTTCTGGGATTGATTTGCACTTTTCGCACCAAACTACGTTCATCTCTAGGAGACCGAACACGTCTCCTTCCTGAGCGGTATGACGGCTGCGTGGTCCCATGCGTACTATTGTTTGTACAGATGAATGTGGTACCTTCAGGCATTTGGAAATTGCTCCCAAGGATGAACCAGACTTGTGGAGGTCTACCATTTTTTTTCTGAGGTCTTGGCTGATTTATTTTGATTTTCCCATGATGTCAAGCAAAGAGGCACTGAGTTTGAAGGTCGGCCTTGAAATACATCCACAGGTACACCTCCAATTGACTCAAATTATGTCAATTAGCCTATCAGAAGCTTCTAAAGCCATGACATCATTTTCTGGAATTTTCCAAGCTGTTTAAAGGCACATTCAACTTAGTGTATGTAAACGTCTGATGCATTGGAATTGTGATACAGTGAATTATAAATGAAATAATCTGTCTGTAAACAATTGTTGGAAAAATTACTTGTGTCATGCATAAAGTAGATGTCCTAACCGACTTGCCAAAACGATAGTTTGTTAACAAGAAATGTGTGGAGTGGTTGAAAAATGAATTTTAATGACTCCAACCTAAGTGTATGTAAACTTCTTACTTCAACTGTATATTATGCAGCTGCTCTTTGACCCTCACCAGGACAAACTGATGAATGTCCCAAACGTACTTTTCTGCTCTCTGCTCGTCTCCTCCCCTTCATCTGCACTGTATGGAAAATACTTGACGGGTGACAACAATATGGTGGAAGCTCATCATTAGGCTATTCCAAAATGGCACCCTATTCCGTTGACCCGAGCCCTATGGCACTGTATCATGAAAAGAGAGATAACAATCACAGGTGTCGTTTGAGATCAAGTACACTGACCAGTGTTTGTCTTAATCAGTAAAAGGTGAGCTTCTGTGCCAACGAGAACCGATACGTACACAGCACTGACTTTGCATAATGATTCAGTAATAGGAAAACATGTCAATGATGTGCAGATACAAAAATAAATGCATTTCTGTTTTTCTTCAATCATATTTCATAGCCTACATACAATAAAACACATCAAAATTGTACATTTAATATACAGTACATAGGTTAACCATTTCAATACTACATAAGTCTCTACTAACTAAAAAGTAACCAAATAAACTTCACATTCTGGCAGTGTTTACCATTCTGGCAGTGTTGAATTGAATTCATTTGGTGTGTCACATGATCTGTGTTACCGTCAGTGGGAAGCTGTGGAATAATATGATAGAACAGATGGGATTGGGAGGACTGTCTGTCATACAAACGATTGGTCAGGGGTCTTAGTTTATTCCTCATGCCCTGTGCGTGTGTGTAAGAATATAGCATGATCTCAGTAAGACTGTAGGCCTCATTATGTAAACCATCACACAGTTTCTTATAAATGTGCAAAAAAAACATGCTACAGCAAAATGATAACTATTTCTCATTTAGACACTGAAATGGAACAGGAGGAAAAGTAAACCTGACAACATAACCATTCAATGGTTCTCTTAGAAATCAACTTGACGAGTAAATGCAAGCTTCACAGCACAGAGGCTAGAAAAGACTGGCAGTGTGACTGACTGAAGGAATTGGGTCAAGTTTGGATGGAGAGAAGAAAGGTGCTGAGAGACGGAGGGGGAGTTGTAGGGATGGTAGCAGCATTGTTCCTGAGTGTGAGGATTCACTTGTATACAATGCCTGTCTGAATAGAAATCAAAGGACAAGTCATGCTTGAGCCAGCCTTGCAAGACAAGGAGGGCAGTGAGGTGAATGTATCTGTGTACATTTACAGGTACATACTTTCCAGGTGACCTGAATACATACAGTACATACTTTCACGAGTCTGTTTATCTGTACATACTTGTAAGGTATGAGTACAGGGGAAAGAAACCCCCTCCGCCCAAACTGTCATTGGTTCCAGAACTTTCCTTCAGCCGCCAGCGTCTCGTTGAGGCGACACAGCTGGCGCAGGAAGCCGTCGTTAGGTCCGATCTCTCTCTTCTGTCGTACCATGGAAAGGGCGGAGCGAACGTCCATCCTGTGGCGCAGCATCAGGTAGGCGATGACCAGCGTCGGGGAGCGGCTGTAGCCCTCTCTGCAGTGGACGTACACTTTACCTGAGGGACGTGGAGATTATTTAGAGGTCAGAGAAAACGGGACACAATATTGCATCAACTATTGGGATACAAAATTGCAACAAATAAGGACAAAATATTACATCAAATACTGGGATAAAATATTGCATCAAAATGTATTTCATTAAATATTACTAAGTTGAGACAATTCTGCATTTGAATTCAACTCAATTTCCAGTTTCTAAATGTACGATGCCAAATATATATTAAAATATAATTGATTATTCTGAAGCCGACTCTCCATCCATCCCTGGTGTGACTACGTGTTGAAACTGAATCATCCCATTAGACCACAAAAGCCCATTTTCATCATCTTAGCGCGATGATGTCATGGACTGTGATGTATTGTATTTATTCCACTGATCTCATCCAGAGGCTCACACCAAAACAATGAACTGTTACCTTACCCTTCCCATCTTTGTTTTACCTTAAAGGCAAAAGAAAAAGAGGTGGCTAAACGCTATGTAGCTATACGCTAGTGTTTTGTTCCGTCGGCCTGCACCTCACTAACTCAGGTGTGCATTTTCCCTTGTCTCAAAGGTTTTATCTTACTCTTCCCATCTTGTTGTGCCAGGGCCTTCTCGATGAAGTCCGCCCCCTCCTCGAAGTAGACGCTGAGGTCAAAGTGGTCTGTGTCACTGGCGGCCATGCCATAGTATGTGATGCCCGTGCCAGCCTAGAACTCTGCGTTGGTGTTGACGTGCATGAAGGAGTTGCCTTCCGCTGCGTTCAGGATGTGGGTGATGCCTAGCTTCTTCAGACGCATCGTGTTCATGGCCACAAACCTAAAAAACAAAGTACTATAGGTGTCATAACTGTTACAAACCTAGAGTGGTATTGTATACAGGCATATACAGGGCCTTCAGAAAGTATTCATACCCCTTGACTTATTTCACATTTTGCCTGAATTCAAAATGGTTTAAATATATATTTTTCTCACCCATCTACACAGAATACCCCATAATGACAAAATGAAAACATGTTTTTAAATGTTTGCTAATTTATTTGAAATGAAATACAGAAATATCTAATTTACATAAGTATTCACACCGAGTCAATACATGTTAGAATCACCTTAGGCAGCGATTACAGCTGTGCGTCTTTCTGGGTAAGTCTCTAAGAGCTTTGCACACCTGGATTGTACAATATTTGCCTATTATTATTATTTCTAAATTCTTCAAGCTCTGTCAAATTGGTTGTTGATCACTGATAGACAACCATTTTCAGGTCTTGACATAGATTTTCAAGTAGATTTAAGACAAAACTCAACTCGGCCACTCAGGAACATTCACTGTCTTCTTGGTAAGCAAGTTCAGTGAAGATTTGGCCTTGTGTTTTATGTTACTGTCCTGCTGAAAGGTGAATTCATCTCCCAGTGTCTGGTGCAAAGCAGACTGAACCAGCTTTTCCTCTAGGATTTTGCCTGTGCTTAGCTCCATTCCATTTATTTTTTATCCTGAAAAACACCTTAACATTTACAAGCATACCCATAACATGATGCAGCCACCACTATGCTTGAAAATATGGAGAGCGGTACTCAGTAATATGTTGTATTATATTTGCCCCAAACATAACACTTTGTATTTAAGTTAATTGCTTTTCCAAATTTTTTGCAGTATTACTTTAGTGCCTTGTTGCAAACAGGATGCATGTTTTGGAATATTTTTTATTCTGTAAAGGCTTTCTTCTTTTCACTGTCAATTAGTATTGTGGAGTGACTACAATGTTGTTGATGCATCCTCAGATTTCCAACTTGTTGTGTAATGTTTATGTCCAATGGCCGATGAGCGCCGATACATTTTATCTATAATTTCTCTTCATATTTTATCTTCATATGACAAGGATTGAAAAGGATTTTCCAGTAGATTGTCGACTTGATTCATGATGATGACTACTAGCTTGCTAGCTAAGATTTTGAAAGTATGATGTTGACATGATCAGTCCAATCAAAGCTACAGTAGATATAACGTGATTTGACGTCATATTATCTGTGACCAATGACCTTGAGCCTTCTTGGATGGGCACTTCTAATGTAACTCTATGGCAGCACCCAAGGGGCTTGAATTTTTGAGCTCTCCCCGTAGATTTTGCGGTGACGTAGTGTCCCCATGAGTGACAGAACACTGAGCCAATCACGGCACAACTAGAGAACATTACCAACCCCTACACTCCGTATTTTCCGCTGGCTGCCCCACCACCACAGAAGGCACTGAGCTAGACAGAAACACCTGCATTTTGGAGCTGCCTTACTCAAGAAAGCAAAAAGAGACCATGTTCGTATGCGGCTTTATTAACTCAAAGATAAAAAATATTTTACATTGTTTGCAAACCTGATATGTGACATGTATTAATGCCAAAATAACATGCAAAAAAGGTGGGGTTCTGCATTCTGAGCAAAGATCACTCGTATAAACGTTAGTTCTGAAACCTCCCGAAAAAGACCTGCGTGTGTTTAGGTAAAAGTATTCTCTCCTACTGCCCCATCCTTCCACTTCAATCCTTCTCTTGAAGATACCAGGACAGTCAATAATATATGAAACACCGTTAGGGAGAAGGAGGCTAGGTTAGCAGCGAGATGCTGCACTTTTAGTCCCATCTACAGCTTTGCCTATAGTATGTACATAAAGATCCTATGGGCAGAATGACGATGAAAAGTTCCATGACTTGTTATAATGTAACACATTTAGTCCCCTTAAGGCAACGTTCCATTAATAAGGTGCCTTTAGTTATTTTGGGTGGGGCTGTTTTTGTTGTTCCTTATTCCACAACTAACGTATATCCAATCAAGCTGGTAATTGAACAGTTCATTAAACACTTTTTCTCTCCATTTGTCTCATGTTAGACAGGTCAGATGTGTTTTACATCCATCCTTAAACCATATAATAACAACATAAGCGTCTGTGTCTGTGTCTGTGCGTCAAAGATTGCTCACCCAAATAGAATCAGTCTATCAAGGGGTGTGGGTGGGGGGGAAGTGTGTATGGTAGATTGAGGTACAGAGCGTGCATGCCCTCAGTTATTTTAATTTTGCCTTATAGTTTAGTTAGGGAATAAGTGTGTCAGCCTATTTTAAACTCGTTTGTCTGTTCCATCATAGACTATTTTATCTGATATGCTAATATTTAATTAATCTAATCAGTTTTGTTTCAGTATGGCTTTTGTCAATAAATGTCTAATTTAAAAACCAGGATGATAAAAGCAAACAAATAAAATAAAACCATTATTTTCACAACATAGGCTACTGTAGTCCTATTGGCTAGCAGATGTAACTACACTGAGTGTACAAAACATTAGGAACCTTTCTAATATTGAGTTGCACCACCTTTTGCCCTCAGAACAGCCTCAATTCGTCGGGCATGGGCAAGGTGACGAAAGTGTTCGACAGGGATGCTGGCCCATGTTGACTCCAATGCTTCCCACTGTTGTGTCAAGTTGGCTGTATGTCATTTGGGTGGTGGACCATTCTTGATACACACGGGAAACTGTTGAGCATGAAAAACCCAGCAGCGTTGCAATTCTTGACACACTCAAACCGGTGCGCCTGGCACCTAAATTTACTACCATAACCTGTTCAAAGGTACTTCAATCTTTTGTCTTGCCCATTCACCCTCTGAATGGCACACATACACAATCCATTTCTCAATTGTCTCAGGGCTTAAAAATCCTTCTTTAACCTGTCTCCTCCCCTTCATCTACACTGATTGAAGTGGATTTAACAAGTGACATCAATAAGGGATCATAGCTTTCACCTGGATTAAACTGGTCAGTCTATTTACTACTACAAACCAATGCTGGCATTAAGATTGCACTCAATTAGCTGTATAAGGCCATAACTAAACAGGAAAACGCTCATCCAGAGGCAGCACTCCTAGTGGCCGGGGACTTTAATGCAGGGAAACTTAAATCCGTTCTACATAATTTCTACCAGCATGTTAAATGTGCAACCAGAGGAAAAAAAACTCTAGACCACCTTTACTCCACACACAGAGACGCATACAAAGCTCTCCCTCGCCCTCCATTTGGCAAATCTGACCATAACTCTATCCTCCTGATTCCTGCTTATAAGCAAAAACTAAAGCAGGAAGCACCAGTGACTCGGTTAATAAAAAAGTGGTCAGATGACGCAGACGCTAAGCTACAGGACTGTTTTGCAAGCACAGACTGGAACATGTTCCGGGATTCTTCAGATAGCATTGAGGAGTACACCACATTAGTCACTGGCTTCATCAATAAGTGCATCGATGATGTCGTCCCCACAGTGACCGTACGTACCCCAACCAGAAGCCATGGAATACAGGCAACATCCGCACTGAGCTAAAGGGTAGAGCTGCCGCTTTCAAGGAGCGGGACTCTAACTCAGACGCTTATAAGAAATCCCGCTATGCCCTCCGACAAACCATCAAACAGGCAGAGTCAATACAGGACTAAGATTGAATCGTACTACACCGGCTCTGATGTGGCAGGGCTTGAAAACTATTACAGACTACAAAGGGAAGCACAGCCGCGAGCTTCCCAGTGACACAAACCTACCAGATGAGCTAAACCACTTCTATGCTCACTTCGAGGCAAGCAACACTGAAGCAAGCATGAGAGCACCAGCTGTTCCGGATGACTATGTGATCACGCTCTCCGTAGCCGATGTGAGTAAGACTTTTAAGCAGGTCAACATTCACAAGGCCGCAGGGCCAGACGGATTACCAGGACGTGTACTCCGAGCATGTGCTGACCAACTGGCAAGTGTCTTCACTGACATTTTCAACATGTCCCTGACTGAGTCTGTAATACCAACATGTTTCAAGCAGACCACCATAGTCCCCGTGCCCAACGACACTAAGATAACCTGCCTAAATGACTACCGACCCATAGCACTGACATCTGTAGCCATGAAGTGCTTTGAAAGGCTGGTCATGGCTCAAATCAACACCATTATCCCATTATCCCAGAAACCCTAGACCCCCTCCAATTTGCACACCACCCCAACAGATCCACAGATGGTGCAATCTCTATTGCACTCCACACTGCCCTTTCCCACCTGGACAAGAGGAACACCTACGTGAGAATGCTATTCATTGACTACAGCTCAGCATTCAACACCATAGTGCCCTCAAAGCTCATCACTAAGCTAAGGATCCTGGGACTAAACACCTCCTTCTGCAACTGGATCCTGGACTTCCTGACGGGCCGCCCCCAGGTGGTAAGGGTAGGTAACAACACATCTGCCACGTTGATCCTCAACACGGGGGCCCCTCAGGGGTGCGTGCTCAGTCCCCTCCTGTACTCCCTGTTCACCCATGACTGCATGGCCAGGCACGACTCCAACACCATCATTACGTTTGCCGACGACACAACAGTGGTAGGCCTGATCACTGACAACGATGAGACAGCCTATAGGGAGGAGGTAAGAGACCTGGCCGTGTGGTGCCAGGATAACAACCTCTCCCTCAACGTGACCAAGACAAAGGAGATGATTGTGGACTACAGGAAAAAAAAGTGGACTGAGCACGCCCCCATTCTCATCGACAGGGCTGTAGTGGAACAGGTTGAGAGCTTCAAGTTCCTTGGTGTCCACATCACCAACAAACTATCATGGTCCAAACACACCAAGACAGTCGTGAAGAGGGCACGACAAAGCCTATTCCCCCTCAGGAGACTGAAAAGATTTGGCATGGGTCCTCAGATCCTCAAAAAGTTCTACAGCTGCACCATCGAGAGCATCCTGACTGGTTGCATCACCGCCTGGTATGGCAACTGCTCGGCCTCCGACCGCAAGGCACTACAGAGGGTAGTGCGTATGGCCCAGTACATCACTGGGGCCAAGCTTCCTGCCATCCAGGACCTCTATACCAGGCGGTGTCAGAGGAAGGCCCTCGAAATTGTCAAAGACTCCAGCCACCCTAGTCATAGACTGTTCTCTCTGCTACCGCACGGCAAGCGGTACCGGAGTACCAAGTCTAGGTCCAAAAGGCTTCTCAACAGCTTCTACCCCCAAGCCATAAGACTCCTGAACAGCTAATCATGGCTACCCGGACTATTTGCACCCCCACCTTATCTTTTTACGCTGCTGCTACTCTGTTAATTATTATGCATAGTCACTTTAACTCTACCCACATGTACATATTACCTCAACTACCTCAACTAGCCGGTGCCCCCGCACATTGACTGCACCGGTACCCCCCTGTATATAGCCTCCCTACTGTTATTTTATTTTACTTCTGCTCTTTTTTTCTCAACACTTTTTTGTTGTTGTTTTATTTTACTTTTTTATTAAGAAATAAATGCATTGTTGGTTAAGGGCTGTAAGTAAGCATTTCACGGTAATGTCTACACCTGTTGTATTCGGCGCATGTGGCAAATACATTTTGATTTGATTTGATTTGATTTAAAGAGCAGGTGTTCCTAATGTTTTGTACAATCAGTGTATATGACTTAGGCCAGTGGATGCACTTAGGCTATACTCCATTTTAATATCATAATACTGGTACTTCATATTTAGCTTCAGATAAGTGTTGCCAAGACTAAAGTTGATCGAATAGCCTTATACCTGTCCATAAAGTTTCGAATGAACATTTCATTGACACATTAACTCAAGCAAATGAAACTCACGCGTTTCCAACATATATCCTGGTGAACACCTCGTCGACATGGTGTGCTGGCATGCTGTAGTAACCGTCACTGTTGGCACACAGATCATTGAGCTGCTGCACTGACACTTCATAGTCTGACATGTCGACTCACGCTGGCACGGTATGCTGCTTGGTTGTGCTCTGATTTTGCTTCTTCCTCTTCTTGACTAGAGCAGAGCTGTCAAATGTGGCGAACAGGTGTCGGTTTACAGAGCGGCTAGGAGAGGAGTCAGGTTTTCACCCGGCTGTTGCATTGCTCTCTCTCACCGAGAAAGGCTCTGAGGGTCTGGGTGTTTTGAAAGCCCACTCTCTCTCATCATATACCTACAGTATGTTACCATACAGTAATACAGGAATAACAATGTAACACAGTGCCCGCAAAATTCTGAACCCGGTTTCACAATTTAAAGTGATCTACAACTCTGGTTGGACTGCAAGTATTCATGTTTTATAATGCAATTAAGATTTTCTTGGTATTTAATGAAACAGTACACTGTATATAGTATAAGGGAAGTTCTATAAGTGACTTGAGAAATCATATTCTAAAGTGCAAATGTTATCATGATGGTCATTGGTCAACTATCAACATAGCCCTCTGTATCTACTAAGATTGACTTGGAGGGATGCTTTTGTTATCTATATAAATAATTGAAGAGGATTATTCAATGATTATAAGTGCAAATATTAGTTTGAATATTGTTGATTAAATGCATTACAGAACATAAACAATAATAAAACCTCTTGAATTGTATATTACACTGGTAAAATGTGGTTCAGATGACAGGTGTTGAATATAATGTATAGTCTATGAATAGTCCAAAGGTAATCTAGATGACAGAGAGCATTAGTCATGTCACAAAATCAAACTTAACAAACCAATCCCCTGAATTGTCCTTCAAACGGCTACCCCATTTTGTCTCCGTCTGTAGCAGTTTGAAAATAGAACAATCCACAACCAAAATGGCTGCCATTTTCTCCTAACATGTTTCGGGTCGCATTTTGGTAGCCCGGCATCGAAGGACCTTGAGGAAACTGTCAATTTTGTGGGAGTCCCTGCGGAAGCAGGACATGAGGAAGTGGAAGTTGATGAGGCGGGAGGTCTTGTCATTGCCGAGGTCTCCACCCTTGAAGGGGATTGAAGAAATGTACTGGGATGATGGGCCCATCTATGGAGATAGAGAAAGAGAGACATTTGTTTGTAAAGCAGAAGATGGTGCAAAAAGGTTGTCACCTTGCACACAATGTTCAATTGTTGAACTAAAACCACTAGTATATGTAGAGTTCGGTATGCTTCACATAAACACACACAGATACACAGCGTCAGTCACCCACCTTGTTAACCAGTATGTCCAGTCCATCTCCCAGGTTCTTGGAGTAGTCCTGCAGTTCCCTGATCTTACTGCTGATGTCGCCGTTGGAGGGGTGCGGCAGAGTGGGCGCCTCGGAGGAGAGCAGCAGCAGGGGATCGTTCCAGGCCAGGAGGAGGGAGCGAGCCAGGGAGATCAGCTCATTCTCCTGAGGAACACAATGGGTAAAGTCATGAAGGAAAGATAGATAGATCCTGCACATTGTAGAATGCTCCTGAAGTTTTGAGTGCAACTTTCCAACAAAAATGTTTTTAATCAGGCTTGACGAAGTGGGGATAGGGACTGGGATTGGGGGTTTAGTCAAGGAAGGCCTTGTGCAGCTTGTTGAATGCACTGCTTTTTTAGAACGGGATGAGTGCTAACATAGATATACCATAGGGAGGAGACAAACCCAGAGAGAGAGGAGAGGAAGGGTACATCTGAGTTATGGGGCTTCCTCTCCTAGTCTCCCTTCATCTCCACAACTTCACTAATCTAAGACTGCTGGATGCACATTGCTCACACCTCTCCAATCCTCTCAGATCTGTGCCTAGGGGCTAGAGGTTGTTGCAGGACAGGGCTGTAGATTTGATTAATGAAATACTCTAGCAGGTAGATTGGGAAAAGAGAGAAGGGGGAGAGATTATAACTAATAGAGAGATGAAAGAGATGAGTGAGGAGAGCACAGAGCTTTACCGACCGATACTCTGAGTGCTTGCTCCTTGTCCTTGGGTGTCTGTAGTGAGGAGGTGTGACACATAGAGGGGCGTGGCATCATCACTCGTCCCATGGGTGGAAAGTGAGAGTCCTGAGAGAGAGAGAGAGAGAGAGAGAGAGAGAGAGGCACAAAAGTGGTTATAATAAGGTTAACTCAAGTTGAACATACTCTGACACATAATACTCTGAACATACTCATTTAATGATACATACAGTACATCTTGAACACAAACAGACCAGGTACACACACATACGCACCCAGACCCACGTACACATGCATTGTTGTCCTATGGTTATTTTCAATAAAACCTTCCTACAACTTTCTGGGAATGGTGCAGGATAGTTGTTTGGCTTTGGAACATTCTCAGCACATTTAAGGAACTTGACAACAAAAACGTTATTTTCATTTCATTACTTTAACAGAACGTTTCCTAAAAGTTCAAACATTGTTACATTTATTAAAATGTTTGTAATGTTCTATCGTTCTTCAACTGGTTTGGCACTGAGAATATTCTCAAATAGTTCAGAGAACATTAAGAAATAACGTTCTTCTGTGGGAATTTCAGTACTTCAGCATAACGTTTCTACAGGTTTCCTCATGGTTCTATTTAAAATCATGTTCAGGTGTGTTGGCCGCGCCCACTAATTGGCCACACCTGATCTTAATGAGTGCTTGTTTCCTTTAGAAATGGGGTCTGCGTGAACAGACTAAAATGTATTTGCATGATGAATGCCTAAGCAAATGAATTTCCATGTGTCCTATTTGTGCTTGAAGTTCGAAAAAGTTTACCCAAAATAATCTAGCAGTGTTATTAAAAGTGTTATTGAAATATTCAGTGAAAGTTTTAAGGAAGTTATTAAAAAACCTCCCAGTAACCTATAATTTCCATTCTCAGAGCGTTAATAAAACCTCCCAGGAAAACTTTCAAGGAACCAGAGTAAAACGTTCTCAGAACCTAAAGATAAACGTTCCCAGAATTGTCACTTTTGTTCTCAGAACATTTAAAAAGCGTTCAGTTTTTACTGGTCAGGAAACGTATGGCTTCGTTCCCACAACCAATGTGAAAACAAAAACATACGTTCCCACAACTTCCAAGGAACCAAATGCTGGGATGGTGGTTACTGACCATGTCCTTGGTGAGGGAAGTGCTGAGTGAGTGAAGCTTGTCTGATCGCTGGGAAGCTCTCTCCATTAGGTCACTGAGGCCAATGGCATGGCAGGACACAACTAGACACAGAACTAGAGGAGAGAGAGGGAGAGAGCGAGAGAGGGAGAGAGGGAGAGAGCGAGTGAGATTTGGCTTTAGTCAACTTGCCTCCATCAAAAACTCTCACACACGGACTAAACACACACATTTCATCTCACCTGCTAAATGGAGTTTGGTACCCTGGGATCGGCGAGCCATCTTTCTTTCTTTCTTTCTTTCTTTTCTCTTCTCTCCTTGTCTTCTTGTCCTTCCTCTCCTGCTTTTTGGCTGCCGTTCCTTCTCGTTCCCCTTATATAGTGCCCTTGTCTTTTTCATTTGTGAATGCATAAGTCTGTGCGTATTGTTCAGAACTAGTTCTCTCCTGATCACTAATGAGAAACATTGTTTGGGGGTCTGTCCCTTAGGTATGTGCTCATTAATACCCATGGTATTTTTTAAGGTGAGATAGTGAGGTGGACAAAAGCTGTCGGAAAAGGAGAGGGGGGCTTGGGGGGTGGTTGAAGGGCTGTTCCCTGCTCCCCGCACCAAGCCTTGCGTCACTTGAAGATACAGTATACGATGGAAGTTTAGTTACTAATCGTTTCTGTCAAAAGTTCTATACAGCCTCTTTAACTGTCATGTGTTGAGCGAACACCATATCTTTTCTTTTTCCTGTTGTTAGCTGTTTATTTGATAGTGTTGTTAGTGTGCTGTTGGCTCTTTGATAGTGTTGTTAGTGTGCTGTTGGCTCTTTGATAGTGTTGTTAGTGTGCTGTTGGCTCTTTCTTCACTTTAGTTTGGCCACTGTGACCAATGTTCACGGCACCCTGTAAGTATATTCAGCAGCTAAAAGCATTTGCTAAATGACCATCTTTCTTATCATATTGTTATTGCACTGTACCATTCTCTCTCACTTAAACCACTTTCAATGAGCCTTGGGTAGGCCACACTGCCACCCAGTTGGTATTCCACATGGCCTGGACTGGGGTGATCTAGTGGTTAATACCACTGCTATCAGCACGTGTATGCTCGTGACTGCATTTGGTAGGTTTGAATCCAGGAATCACTACTACCAGCTCCTCTATTCCCTTCTATATACTGTCTTCTCTCTAGAATTAAATATCTGAAAAAATATTAATATTTTAAATATGAAGTAATACATATTTTCTTAGGAAAAACAGAGGGGAAAGTAACCTTTCCAATGTCCTCTCCTCTGTCCAAAGGCAGGCTACTATGTATGCAGATGTAACACCATCCATCTCTGCCACTGATGACCTGAGATACAAATCATCAGTTCTTAAAAACAACACCACTGTCACGCCCTGGCTCTGGGACTCGGTTATGTTGAGCCAGGGTGTGTAGTTTCTATGTGTTTGTGTTCTAGGTTCATTATCTAGCTGATGTGTTTTCTATGTTGGCCGGTGTGGTTCTCAATCAGAGGCAACGTGAATCAGCTGTTGATTGTTGTCTCTGATTGGGAACCATACTTAGGCAGCCTGTTTTCCACAGTGTTTTGTGGGATCTTGTTCCGTGTTGGTTTTGTATTGTAACCAAGGACTTCACGTTATCGTTTTGTTATTTTGTTCGTGTGGTGAATCTAAATAAAAGTATGTTCACTTATCACGCTGTGCATTGGTCCACTGTGTTCGACGATCGTGACAGAAGATCCCACCATAACTGGACCAAGCAGCGTGTCCAGGAGCCAACGCCAGAGGTGAATCTAATGGATGTCCACCTCGACTGGGTCAAGCAGCGTGTCCAGGAGCCAACGCCTGAGAGGACTCTAATGGATATCAACCTCGACTGGGTCAAGCCGCGTGAGGAGGAGAGAGGTTGGACTTGGGAGCAGAAGATGGAGAGTCTGGCGAGAGCCATGGAGGCCATAGCCACGGGGGAGGGACGAACCCAATACATTTTTAGGGGGGGGCTCACACCGTGGACGACGGGACTGCTGGAGGCAGATAAGGGGCGAGTTAGTGGACGAGGAGAGAAGGCCACCGGGTTACGGGAGCCATTGGCGAGTAGAGGGAAGGAAAATGTAGAGGCACGGCGAGAGGTACTGAGGTGTGTTGCCAGTCTGGTCCGGCCCGTTCCTGATCCCCGGGTAAGGCCAGTGGTGTGTGTTCCCAGTGCGGTCCGGCCTGTTCCTGTCCCTCGCACCAAGCCTGTGATGCGCGTCGCCAGCCCGGTCCGGCCTGTTCCTGCCTCTCGCACCAAGCCTATGGTGCGCGTCGCCAGCCCGGCCCGGCCTGTTCCTGCTCCCCGCACCAAGCCAATGGTGCGCGTCGCCAGCCCGGCCCGGCCTGTTCCTGCTCCCCGCACCAAGCCAATGGTGCGCGTCGCCAGCCCGGCCCGGCCTGTTCCTGCTCCCCGCACCAAGCCTATGGTGCGCGTCGCCAGCCCGGCCCGGCCTGTTCCTGCTCCCCGCACCAAGCCAATGGTGCGCGTCGCCAGCCCGGCCCGGCCTGTTCCTGCTCCCCGCACCAAGCCAATGGTGCGCGTCGCCAGCCCGGCCCGGCCTGTTCCTGCTCCCCGCACCAAGCCAATGATGCGCGTCGCCAGCCCGGCCCGGCCTGTTCCTGCTCCCCGCACCAAGCCTGTAGTGCGCTTCGTCAGCCCGGTTCGGCCCGTCCCCGCTCCCCGCACCAAGCCTGTGGTGCGCGTCGTCAGCTTGGTCCGGCCCGTCCCTGCTCCCCGCACCAAGCCTGTTGTGCGCGTCGTCAGTCCGGCACAGCCCGTGCCTGGGTCACCGGTGCCTGATCAGGTACCGGTCAGCTGCTCCACATCGGAGCCTAAGCAATCCACTCCACCGATGTCCAGCTCCAGCCAGCGGGGCCAGACCGGACCAGGGGCGCTACGGGGGGATTGTTGGAGGGTGGTGGTCAAGCCCGGAGCCGGAACCGCCTCCGAGGAGGAATGCCCACCCGGCCCTCCCCTGTTCGGTTTATGTTTGGCGCGGTCGCAGTCCACGCCTTTGGGGGGGGGGGGGGGTACTGTCACGCCCTGGCTCTGGGACTCTGTTATGTTGAGCCAGGGTGTGTAGTTTCTATGTGTTTGTGTTCTAGGTTCATTATCTAGCTGATGTGTTTTCTATGTTGGCCGGTGTGGTTCTCAATCAGAGGCAACGTGAATCAGCTGTTGATTGTTGTCTCTGATTGGGAACCATACTTAGGCAGCCTGTTTTCCACAGTGTTTTGTGGGATCTTGTTCCGTGTTGGTTTTGTATTGTAACCAAGGACTTCACGTTATCGTTTTGTTGTTTTGTTCGTGTGGTGAATCTAAATAAAAGTATGTTCACTTATCACGCTGCGCATTGGTCCACTGTGTTCGACGATCGTGACAACCACGGTCTGTCCAGGGCCACAGAGGTTTCAGCAGAGCAGCGTGACAGGGTGATGTCCTTTACACTGGCAGTACTTTGTACTCTCATTTTACTATCCCAATCTTTTCTTCTTTGTAATCCCTTCCAGAGGATGTTGATGTACAAGTCAAAACATTGAGTATGTTCTAAGAATGTGAGAGAATGTTAGATGTCATGGGTGGGATCTGAACCCCAGTCTCCCACTCGGGAACGAACATCTTAACCATTAGTGCAGTGGTATTCAAAACTTTTCAGCAGGACCCAATTTTTTCCACCAGAATTTCTTGCGACCCCATTTCTCGCGACCTTATTTATATTACAGCATATTGGATGACTGTCATTCATATTCCATTCACCCAGCTCAATGTAACATCGATAGGTATAGACTACTACATGATACTAGAATTTTCCCTATACCCATCATGAGGTTGCTACAACCTAACCTATGAATTAAAGTTTACAACGTAGGTGCACACAGGTCGTGAGTAATCAAGGTGACCGACAGTGACACATTCAATACCACCTTGCACACTCTTGCCTGCATCTAGATGATCTAGGGTGTAATCATTAGTCCAACAGTTACAAACAAGAGTTTCTATTGGACAAATTCAGTTATGTTTATCCCCGTTTCGTCGGTTTAAGAAACGTTTTTCAACAGAATCAGCAGAATGAATACACCCCTGATCACACGCAAACCCAGTTCACTTTCATAGCAGCCACACACAAACAGCATGATCACTGCTAGTTGTATTCCTTCTCGCATCTACACGCTCTCCTCCTCTCACATTTTCCCTTCATTTGTGGACTTCAGTGCACAACACATCAGCTGTCTCTCTCTCTCTTGCTTATCCTTCATTTTTGAAGAAATGAATTTGTTCAAAACTGTTCAACTATTGTCATTCTCTCTCTTTGAGTCAACTATTTACCACATTGTATGCACTGCAGTGATAGCTATCTGTAGTTTATGCTTTCAGTGCTAGATTAATTCTCTGGACCTTTGATTGGGTGGACAACATGTCAGTTCATGCTGCAAGAGCTCGGATAGGTTGGAGGACGTCCTCCGGAAGTTGTCTTAATTACTGTGTAAGTCTATGAAAGGGGGTGAGAACCATGAGCCTCCTAGGTTTTGTATTGAAGTCAATGTACACAGAGGAGGACATACCCAGCTTCTTCATGATTGTTGAGTAAGACCCACCAATCACTACTGACTTACACAAACTTTCCCACGGTGATGTAACACAAACTCCTCTCAACAATCCTCAGATTGTGCAGGCCTATGGTCTGGTGGTCTAGGCACATACAGTTGAAGTTGGAAGTTTACATACACTTACAGTGAGGGAAAAAAGTATTTGATCCCCTGCTGATTTTGTAAGTTTGCCCACTGACAAAGACATGATCAGTCTATCATTTTAATGGTAGGTTTATTTGAACAGTGAGAGACAAAATAATCTAGAAAAACGCATGTCAAAAATGTTATAAATTGATTTGCATTTTAATGAGGGAAGTAAGTATTTGACCCCTCTGCAAAATATGACTTAGTACTTGGTGGCAAAACCCTTGTTGGCAATCACAGAGGTCAGACGTTTCTTGTAGTTGGCCACCAGGTTTGCACACATCTCAGGAGGGATTTTGTTCCACTCCACTTTGCAGATCTTCTCCAAGTCATTAAGGTTTCGAGGCTGATGTTTGGCAACTCGAACCTTCAGCTCCCTCCACAGATCTTCTATGGTATTAAGGTCTGGAGACTGGCTAGGCCACTCCAGGACCTTAATGTGCTTCTTCTTGAGCCACTCCTTTGTTGCCTTGGCCGTGTGTTTTGGGTCATTGTCATGCTGGAATACCCATCCACGACCCATTTTCAATGCCCTGGCTGAGGGAAGGAGGTCCTCATCCAAGATTTGACGGTACATG